TTTTCTTGTGGTTTTTTCAAAAAACGATCAGTTATGTCTCGTAGAAACAGCGATCAGCTTTTGATCAAGTATCCGAGTTCGACAGAGGAAGGATAATGGCCTACCGAGATTGTGGATTATCTTTCAGGAAATCGGTAGTCGTGTTGGACGAAACCAAACAACTGTAATGCGGATATGTGACCGTTGGATGCAGGAGGGTAAGACGGACCGACGTGGTCGATCGCATCCACCTCAGTGCACCACTTCACGTGAGGACAGGCAAATTGCGCGCATGCCAGTGACGGAACGCTCAGTCACATCACGAACCATAGCACAGCACATTGAGTCTGTAACGCATCATTCAGTGTCTGCGCGTACCAATCGACGCCGTTTACAGCAGAGTGGTGTGTCCGCAAGACGTCCATTGCTTGGTCTACCCTTAACGCCGAACCACCGCCACCAACGGGCGATGAAAAAAGGATGTGGGCGCAGAATCGAATGAAGTTATTTTTACTGAAGAGTCCGCATCTGCCTGCAACACCACGATGGTTGGATTCGAGTCTGGAGACATCGTGGAGAGAGGATGCTGAACAGCTGCATTATGCACCCCCACACTGGTCCTGCACCGGGTATTATGGTATGGGGCGGTATTGGATATCACTCTCGCCCTTCTCTAGTATGCATTGCTGGTATTTTAAACAGCCAGCGCTACATCTCCGAGGTGTTGGAGACAGTTGTCCTTCCTTACCTTCAGGCTTGGACACAGCCATATTTTAACAAGATAATGCGCGACCACACGTGGCACGCATTGTCTAAAGGTTTTTCGTCAATCACTAGAATGAATTGCTTCCCTGGCCGGCTCGCTCTCCGAATCTTTCACCGTTAGAAAACATGTGATCCATGGTTGCTCAACGATTGACCCAGATTACACCGCCAACTGCCACACCAAATCAACTTTGGCAACGTGTGGAAGCTGCTTGGTCTGCTGTACCCCAAGAACACATCCAAAGTCTCTTTAAATCAATGCCCAAGAGTGTGGCAGCGGTTATCTCCAACAATGGCGGCTACTCTGGCTACTGATTCTGGCAGGAACCACACTTCACAGAAGTCTATAAATTTAATCATTTGAAACTTGGTCAATGTGTTACCTACAAAATAAATTTTGTTGTGCTATCTATTGTCGTTCTTGGTGTTGCATTTACGGTGCCCAGCACTGTATATGCATAAAACAAGATTTTCCCCCCAGTTTTAAAAAATCTCTTTGAAGAAATTTTTTATAACATTTAAACATATTTATCTTGTGTTTCCAAGAAATGAGATCCCTCGCTTCGTTGTTGCCAACTTTAGCTCAACCAATTTTCAATCAGAATTTTCAATGCCTTCCCCCACCAATACAATGGCAATGTATTGAACGCTATAATCATGTACTTTCATACTAAAGTTGCAATGTACGACTTTAATTGTAAACTGTACAAATTATAAAAATAAATATCAAATTTCATATATGTTACTTTAAAAAAAATATTTTAAGTTACTTATAAGCCGAGGTGGGCATTGCTTCGATCGCGATCGACCACCGGTGGACCGCCAAGACAATTTGGAGTGACCGCCTGAAGATAAGCCGATGGTAATTGTATACGGGAACATTCAAAATTGGCTGACAGTACGCAGACTAAATCTTCTACTGACTATAATTACGTAAACTAACTTTAGATGTTTTATTTTTTTAATGTATTTTGAATTGTTTGGTAATAAATGAATCAGTAGATATTATTATATTTGTGGCTATTATTATTGTTTTTGTATTTTGCATTTTGCTTTAAATGCGGTTTCAAAAAAGTGAGTTTTTCATTTCATTTACGTAAGTAAGTAAATATTCCGTATGTATTATTAAGTTATAATAAATATTGTTGACCTTTTCCTTACCTCACCACACCTACGACCCTGGGCAGGGGCGCACTCGTGAATTTTTATGAGAGTACGGTGGTCCAGGGTCGAATGTGTCTACCATACTTATATCCTACCCTAATATATAAGCTGCCAAATATAATTTTTTTTCATTTTGTAGATTGTCGGGAACAACGAAGAGTATGAAATAAATTGTTGAATAAATAATTAGCATTAATTAATAAAAATTATCAAAAACGAATATTTAATCAAATTTTATTTACGATATACATGGGATTATAATCGATCGAAAAAAATCATGCGCTATGCAGGAGGGTCCGGACCCATGGATCCCCCCCCCCCTCTCCTTTGTGTATGCCACAGATACTGGTGGGCCGCAACACCTTGAAAAAATTAGAAGTAGCCCGTACCCTGGAAAAGTCTGCCCACCCCTGCTTAAAAGTTTAAGGATATGTATTGTGTGTTACTTTTCATAATTAAAAATGTGTTTTGCTTCACTTCCTTTCAGCAAATTAACATTTTTTAAAATAATTCTTTATTTTCGACTTTTTGATATGCTCACACCCCCCACTTAAAGTTATCACTCCTCCTAGGAGGCGCCCCCCCACAGTTTGAGAAACTCTGATTTAAGGAATTATAAAAAAAAATCTTAATAACCCTGAAGACAAATTTACAGCTATTTTATAAATTATTGAGCGTCATTTCTGGAGAGATTTAATTGTTAAAGGGGGGGGGAGAGAACATTGTATGTACTCAGCTTTCCGCTATGGGTTCTACATATCTAAGTTAAAATCCTTTCCATCCGAGTCCACAAAGAAATTGTTTAACAACTGAATGTTCAGAATCGTGTAGAATTGAATTATATTCCTAATTTTGTTACATAAAAGTAAAGGTGCACAAGCACTAGGTTCGCATAATTTTTTTTTTACTCTAATTGTGACGGTTCTATCCACGTGACTATACTAACACCTTGGGGACTATTCTGGGGAAAAATAATTAATTGAACCAACTTTCGCCGATCAAGAAAGCGGGAATATGTAAATGAAGTATATTATATAAATTCTCTTTTCGGAGTTTTTGTGGGTTGCACTTTTGAGTTGGCAAGTAGAAGTTAGCATAGAGTCTGCGAATTAGTTGTTAGTTGAAGATTGAAAGAGAGTGGAATTAGTTAGATGTCTTGGAGCTGTCCAGGAAAAAGTTTACAGAACGTGGATCCAACGACATTGATCAAGCCGAAAGAGATCACCTGCAAGTTTCCAGTGTAGGATCCGATGCATAAAAGGTACAGGTATTGTGAGCTTGATTAAGTAGAAGTTAGCTTATCAGTGTGCTACGTAGTTATATTTGAGAGTATTTAAGTTGTCTTAGATTCAGTTGAGGGTCCGTAATAGTAAGCCCGTGTTATAGAATCTCACCTCCGCGCTGAACTATTTAATCACCTACCTTAATTAGATTGTTATTGTGTCTGATTGTATTTGGTAACAATAAATTAATCAGATTGAAATCATGTCTGTGGATCATTCAGTTTCTCCCACACACGTAGTCGGGTTTACAGGTAGACAAGGGGGGTTCAGAGTCGAGCAGGAACCGACCGCTATCACATAATGAAAGAGAAATGTATTTATATGCATATATATTTTATGTTGTCTCTTTTTTTATTCTAATAAATATGTTTAAAAATACACACATACAACATATGTGAGTACAGTTAAAAAATTTTTTTGTTAAAGGAATAGTTATATTTTATGCTAAATGATGGAGAATTAATGTATAATAAAACTGTAAATATATATTATTGACCTCTCTTCTTTTACACTGTATGCATTATCACTGGAATCGAATTCTTTCAAAAATATCTTAATGTGTGGTACTCTGGATCATGTTGGTTGATTGGGTTGGCATGCTACAGCTAAAATGTTGCCGACCCCTGTTTTAGAATTTGTTCAAAGCTCACAAAATTTCATTGATGCAGATTCCGATAATGAAAAGAAAAGGAATAATGCACCTCCGACATCATTCGAAATGAGGAACGTCATGAAAAGTATGGGCATTTATTTAAACGCCATTCCAATTGTGAAATGAATAACAAAATGGACGATATTGAATAATCTGTTGACAATTTGATGCTAACAAAAACGATACAAAGAAAATATTAAATTAAATTCCCGCAAAACTCAATTTTTTTTTCAAATTTGAAAATGTTGTATTCAATTTTATTAAGTTTTTGTAAATATTTTTCTTTCGTTGATTTTTATTAAATCTATGCATATATAAATATATATGTAAATAAAATAAACTTTAAGAAACTTAATTTTGTTGATATATGTTTTTATTGCAATATCCTTTAACACGAAATTCTTTTAACCGTGAAAAAATATTTCAATCCTTTAGTTTTGTGCTAAGCGATTTTCACTTTATACCCTTGATGTTCAATCGCATGTAGAAAATTCCTTCCAAATCTAATTATCATATAGTAATTTTTACTTCTTTGTTTCGATCTGAAAACTCATAGCAAGGAATAAGATCCATTGTTATTTTATGCAAAGCACAGAAATGCGGAATCTTCTTCTGGCTTTCCATCCCTTGTTTTTTTAAAATTATGACTTTCTGCTTCAATCTCTTCATTTCTCAATACTAACCAAAATGTGTTGCCAATTTTTTATTTTATTATATCTTGAAAAACATATCGTAAATTACTGATTTTTTAAAATAAAGACAATTTTGTAACTAAACAATCTTTATTGCAGTGCTTTTGAGTTTTAAAAATTTATAAGTTGAAACAAATACTTTTTCTGTTTATTAAGTCTGTAATTACTTTCCTTCGGTTTAATTCAATTCCTATTATAAGTTCACTCTCTCTCCCTATATATATATAATATATATATATATATATATATATAATCTTGCTCAAATTTTTAATCTTAAATAAAATACTTTCTCTTCATCCATTCAAAACCAAATAATTTTTTTAAACTTATAGTGGATCACACTTGATGTTTTTTAATACAATTTTTTAAATATTAATTCATAAATTAAATTTAAAAAATGGATAAATAGTAACAAACAAAAATAATAGTCCAACAGCATATATAGAAAGAAAATTCGTTTGCTGTGTCCCAGTAGGACAATGGATAGCGCGTTGGTCTTCTACTCCGAAACCGTGGGTTCGAATCCCACCTGGGATGACTTAATTTCTGAGAATGTAATTTCTTTTTTACTGTAATATTTTATTGGAATAGTTAAATTAATTTATGAATAATTAGTTTCAAACAAAAAATTAGTCCAACACCCTATATAGAAAGGAAAGTGGAAAATTGTACTAGCTTTGTATTATGTCATTGAATATTGTGATTCTGTCACATGTATATACATATTTATATTAATTGTAGCTTAAAAGGTAAAGTAAAATTTTTCCTTTGTTGATTTAAGAAGAAATTGATTTCAAATTATTTATATTACTTTTTTTTTTATACATTCTTGAAATTTTTTTTTATTACAAAGCTTTCCTTTTTTTGCACTAGATTGGATAAAATTCTTTTTTCTTTTTTAAAAAATGCATGCATTTTAATGTTTTTTAAACATTTATAAAAAAAATTTAAAGTTTTTAGAAAGTATTTGAGGAAGCTTAGTAATTGAAAAAGTGTAAAATTTATTCTAAGAAATATTTGATAAAAGAGGGAAAATCTAAACACACTCCTGTAATATTTAAAAAATAAAATTACAGAATATTTTATTTTTAAATAGGCTACATACACCACCACGTGCTTCAGAAAATAAAATGTAGAATTCACTTAAAATATACGCGGGAGAAATCCCTAAGTGGTTTGTATCTTAAAGTAAAAGGAAATATTTTAAATCTCCAAAAATTTATATCCCACAGCAAACCACTTCTAAGCTGCCGATGTGAACGTTCTGGAGAGATCGGTTAAATACATTCCAGAAAGCTTTACCTCGCCCTACGGTGAATTCTTTCAAAATCATTGTCGATTTTGTTGCAGAAAGGAATACTTTGCTCAAATAAAACACAAGTATCATAATCTCACACCATTAGAGCTTTTATGACGGCAAAGCATCTTACATGAATGTCTGCCTCAGGAAACAAAAATGTTTCTAAAAAAAACCTATCTAATTTTTTTGAATGGTTTCATTTAAAATTTAAGTACCAATGACAGTAAATGCTTTTTGCAGGATTTTATCGCATTTAAAAATATTCTATTATTCTAAAAATATTCTGAGCAGGAGTCGGCAACCTATGACACGCTGCACAATTCTTAATGGCACTCTGTGCTATTCTATAAATTTTTCAGTTTTTGAGTGTCCAATTTTTCAGTTTTTGAAATGGACCTTATTTTTTACAAAAATCTTCAGAATTATGAACATTTACGGAATCTGAAAGAAAACTCTAAAGATAAATGTACAGCTATGTTGTAAATTATTGAATGTCATTTGTTGGAGAGATTTAATTGTTCGAAAGAGAAAAATTACACGTATTCTGCTTTATCGCCTTTGGTTCTACATATCTAAGAAAAAACTCTCTCCTCGCATCAAAATTGTTTCTAGTCCGCAAAGAAATCATTTAACAATTGAATGCTCAGAATCGCGTCAAATTGAAAGTCACAAATTGTACCCTTGATTTTGCGATAAGAAAATACAGCCGTGCGAGCACTAAGTTCGCATTATAATTTTTATTTAACTATAATGAAGGGAAATACTCTTAGATTTTATGTTGCCTATTTTTTATTTTAATAAATATGTTTAAAAATACGTAACATATATACAATTTTAAATATTTTTATTTTTGTTGAAGAAATAGTTATATTTTATGCTGATTATTTTTATGTCAACATCTTAAAATGATACAAAATTAATATAGAATAAAACTGTAAATCTACATTATTGACCAGTATTCTCGAACTCTGCATGCATTATCGCAGGAAACGAATTATTTCAAAAAGTCCTACTGTGTGGCACGTGGAATCCTATTGGTAGATTGTTTGGCACGCTACAGGTTAAATGTTGCCGACCCCTGTATTAGACCATGTCGGTAAAGTAAATGATATACTAATCAGTGCTGAAAGAAGGGGGGGTCGTGTTTTTTTTTAGTGTGTAATGAATGCAGGTGTTAGGAGAACAGCTATTCGTAGCGCTAAGTTAATATTTTCATTGTTTTAATCGGACTTGAAAACTTTAAATGCATTTTTCTCAAAACTGTGTTTATCAAACTTACTCCATCATATTTCAAGAACGGTTTGACCGAATGACTTCAAATTTATAGGGTAGACTCAGCACATATATACGCACCCAATGGACTCCCATAATTCCAAATTCAAAATGTTTGTAACAAAACAACAACAAAAAAAACCCCAAGAAATTTGAAACTTTTTTCAGAGGTGTACCAAAAATCCAGATTTTGATATTTTCAATTGACTATAGTCATTCTGTGCATTTATGCTTACAGATTAAAACGCCGTTATTTTTTGTTTGTTTCAGGTAGCCAATCAGCCGGAATCGTGAGGAAGTGAACGTTCATTTTTTGAGGGGGTGTGTTCAACTCACTTTATGTTGGATATATTGACTAAAATATATATACATACTCTTAAAATACATATAAATAAATGATAAAAGGTTAAATTTTTTCTTTTTACTAGTCGTAAAAATTTTTTTCTAAGAATCCTTAACAAACAAGGTGGGAATTTTTCAAACAATCCTTAACATGGGTGAACCCCTTTAATTCAATTACTCTGGTTTCAAATTTTTCTTGTGTTAAGTACCTAGGGATGTCATGCCACATCCGATACTACGAAAAAAATCATTTTCCTGAAATACCTTGCTATTAAAATTAAGATGTCCTTCCCCATTAGCCCTAATGTGACGTTAATAACCCCTTACTCACCCTAAAATGTCTTTACATTTCATTCCAGACACCAGTGCTTTTATTAAATCAATCCAAAATAGTAAATCCTGTTAATAAGCTTTTTTGGTTGTAATATATGAAATCATAGTCCGTATTGAAAAAAAGTTAAAATTCAAAACATAAAGGGTATGCTTCGGATGTAAATTTAAGTACTTTGTAGAATTTAAGCTATCCTACTACTTGCGACAACTTTTTTTTAAAAAAAAAAGTGGAGAGATGGGGATTTTTTTTGTGGTTTTTAGACTTGTTAAGTACATTTTAAGAAAAATATGCTAAAATTAAAAATAAAAAAGAAATTATGTTACTAAAATGGGAAAAAATGGTATAAATTCACAAAAAATAACATAAAACCAAACCTTCTACACCAAAAGTTTATGAACAAATTTCAATTTTTCAATTCTGATGTGTTGCTATG